CGAGTGTCCACCGGGTGTGGCTGCCTTAGTTTTTCCCATACCGTCGTCTCTTTATAATACACAAGAGAAAAGAGAGAGAGAGAGAGAGAGAGACTATTAGAGATTGTTAGCGGAATAGTTGGTATTAGCAGGTCTAGTAAGGTTTAGTGACTGGAATTTGGGGCACCAGCTCTCTTCTGAGGATGGCACACTCATCGAATCGCTCACGGCATTCTTCAAAGTTTGCCACATGCCCTTGGCTTGCAGCCAATGTTCTGGAGTCACCTGCCAGTGCTGCAATCGGTTGGAAGTTCCCTGCGTTCCTGCGTTCATATATGTTCGTGTGATCTGGAGCCCTCCTCGTTAAGTCCAAAAACAAACAATAGCCATCAAATGCAACGGATCCGCAGTTGACGCCCGCGTTGCGGATCTCCGCCCGGTGGGTGATCTATTTGGAGATCAATGGCCCTCTGCATATCTGACATGCAGTGCGGAAACCACCTGAACCAGCTCAATTGGGAGCCGCCGCACCGAGCCTATCTGCTCTGAAACTACTGGGTCAAAACCAAAAAAACGGATGTCAGGTGATAGGCAGATGAAAGTTTGGTCGGGAGCCATTCTGTCATGCGTGTGCTGTGTGTCTTCTCCGGCGAGCCCTGCAGTGTCCACTCATTTTTCCATTCTCCAGAGCTTTCTTGTTGTTGCCAGGCCAGCGCATCAAACCTGGGCACGAGCAAATCTGAGGGTTCTTGCACAAAAATGACTTGTTGCTCCCTTCAACCCTTCCTTCCATGTTCTGAAAGACGCCAAAAGCCTTTTGGAGACACTGCCACACTCCCCCACGCCAGCGCATGCTGCGCTCCGCGCTCCCCGGGCTCGTCGAAGCACGCGTCTCGTGTCGAAAGCAAGACACTTCTTCGTTCAGGTCGATCATCCGAAGAGGTCGAATTCCATCTCTTCCTCCTCCTCTTCCTCGACCACCTAGCATGTGTGAAGCAGCTAGCAGCTAGTCACTAGCTGCATCCACTAGTCACTAGCTTGCGCAAGGTTCCATTCCAAGGTGCGTAATTGCTCATGCTCTAAATCAATTAGCTGAAGAGGTTGAAATAAATTGGACAGATCCATTTTCACACCTTCTCCAGGTCATCAAGAGGTCCATCCTTCATTTAAAGAGGTTGTTACATGTTTCAATCGATGACCTCTGTCCCATTTTTCTCGGGGCACCACTGGCCTCGCACGGGTGAGGCCCGTCATGGTTTTCTCCACCCCGTCGTGCCCGTGTTGCCACGCCCGTTCGCGTGCGTTGGGCGCCCATGGTCACGACTCCATGGCGCCCTACGATGGTCCGCCCAGCTCTTTTAGATTAAAGAGCACATCGTTTTCTTCCCGGTTCGGACAACTAGCTTGAAACTCCGTCTTCCAGCCCACACCGGTTTTTTGGGGTGTCAAGGCTTCAATCAAATATGATCAAAAGATATCAAAAGGGCAAGCACTTGGGCGGAGGATCTAGTTCCCTTTGCGGACTCGCCGCCCAGCCTTTTTCTCTTCCTTCTTCTCGGCAGGAGCACCGCCTCCGCCGCCTCCACCGCCGCCGCCTCCTGCCACGGCCACGCCGCCACCGCCGCCACCGCCGAACTTCAGCATGCTGTCCTCAGCCAGCTCTCAAGCCACCGCTACAAGCGGATCTGGTGGCAGGTGCGGTCGCCCAAGGCGCAACGCCAAGCGCGGCGGGGGGGGGGGAGGGCGAAGGAGGTCCCTTTCTTGGAAGACCAGCAGTTGTCGGACCTCTTCAGGTACCACCAGGGCAGGGTGCCAGGTGGACCCTGGGGCCTCACTTCGGACGACTTAGACATATCGAACGCCCCAGGCCCTCGGCCCCCTGCTTTGGCCAAGGAACAAGATCCTTTCCCGCACAAAGCTTGGCGAAAAGAGCTGGGAAAAAGGAGCTAGTGGAGCCACCAGCAGCCTGTCGAAAGGCAATGTCGTGGCAGAACTTTGGGGGTAGACTATGTCAAAATGCTGGCTCCACCGAGCATTTCTTTGTGTGTATCTCGAGGGGAGCATCTTTTTGCTGAAACTGCGCAGCTTCTAGTGCGGCACGCAGGCCCAACATGTGTGTTCAACGATGTTGAACTGCCAAACCTCTTGTACGTGGTAAAGGGTTGAGCCTTTGGTGCATATTTACCTTGGAATGGTGGCTCAAGGAATATGTTTAACCCCCCTTGCCTTGATGAGAGTGTTGATGTTGTCTTCTGAAATGTCCAGCTCGCTGTCCTTCCAAAGATTGGGTCAAATGAGAGATATGTTACAAGCATGCTGGGGCATCAAATGTTCAGGGTTCTTTGCTGGAAGAAAAGAACATGCTCTCCGCTGTCTTTACCCTTGCTTGTGTTCAGAGACACAGCTCCTTCACACCAAGGAGACATCCGTCCTTGAGGATCATCGCGGCATAGGTGCAGAACAGCTCCTCCTTCTCGGCCTCGTATAGCTTCTTGAAGACCAACATGTTCATCGGTGGTGTCCCAGGTTTGTTGGATTGCATGCTCCAAATGGTGGAACCTTCGTAGAATTTCTCTGTTGCATGGCAGTCGCATGTTGGGCTTCTAGTTCTTTGCTCCGCTCGCAAAAAGGAACGATCCCCTCCTCTCCCAAAAGAAGAGTTCGCAATGAGTTGCCACCGCTGTCGGTCCGTCCTCATCCGGAAAGTGGACACTTCTCCCCTGGCCTGTGGCACCTCATCCGCTGGCACCTCCGCCATGCCGGGAGGGGTCCAGTTTGCGCGACTTCGCCCGGAAGAGCTCTGCTTCTCCGCTGGTGGAGCCGAAGACCGGTGCCCGGCGAGCGGAGATGGTGGATGAGGTCCACGAGGAGGTCCCAAGTTCGTGAAGTTGTCTCACACAGCTTTTTGGTCCCAAAGCAATGGGTAATTAGAGTTCTGAACTGCTTGTGAAACCGCATGGAAGACCGCTTGGGAAAGATGAAATCCAAGTCAGGGCGCACCCATGAGGGAGCAATGCTCACTTTTACTTTTGTGGTCTGTGCAAACGCTGCCAAGCCAAGATTGAAAACCCAAAGACTAAGGACCGGCCAAGCCTGGTCATCACTTGAAGCTAGACGATGTCTCAAAGCTGCTGCGTTCAGGCCTTAGTTACAGTTGAAGGTGTGGCAATTCCATTGGCAAACATCCCCATCTTCATGGCTCTCCCTCTCCCTCTTCCCGGGTCTTCCCTTCTCTCTCTCTCTCTCTCCTCTAAAGTGAGGGGACTCAAGTTTCTCTGTGGGTCATGGCACCAGGATACCTTGGTCGACCTTTTTGGAAGATCTAGAAGGTCGCTCGCTCCGCGGACCAGCGCTCCAAGTCTTGACCCAGGTCCTTCTCTTCATGGCCCTCGCTCAAGAATACCTCTGCTTCCCTCGTGCTACGTGCTCATAGCCGGCGAGGCGCTGCAAATCCAAAGGTCGCGTTGCTCGCTGGTTTCGGTCTCCAGCTCCTGACTCATGTCCGGAGATGAGCCGATTGCCAAGTTCTGAAGAGAAGACCCAAACTAGAAGGATGGAACCGAACTGAGGGAACATGAGTACTGCCCATCCCTGGATGTTTTCCCTGCGGAGCAAACGGTTTTTCCTTGCAACACATCCCTATGTCTGCACAATATAGCATAAAATCTCCAGTTCCGACCCCTCCTCATCGTATCTGGCTTCCGGAGCCTTGCCCAGGGGGGTCCACAGATCCACACACTGAGGTTGAAAGATGTTGGAAGACAGCCACCCCCTTGTTCAGGTGTTTCTCCCCAGAGTCCAATGCACGTCCCAAACGAGTGGCGCCAGCAAGGCAAAGGCAGGCACCCCGGAATGGGAGTTGTAAGTTTCTCGTGGCAGAACACATCCACGCTAAGAGCCGAGCTCGCAATACAAAGCGGCAGGGCCCGCAGCAAGCGGCCACCTCAGATCTCCGAAAAGCGTTGGCAGTTGGCAGATCCTGCCGTGATGCTTTGCAGATGGGCCTAAACAGATCAGCCAAGGCCCGAGAAAGCTAAGCTCCCGTCGTGACAACCAGACAGGCTGATTTCGCCTCGTGGCTTCTGATTCTCTTCTGCCAGTCGCTGCTTCTTCCAATAACCTCGCTAGCGCGACCAGGCGCCCAAAACGTTCCGTGAAGATCCGGTGAACCCGGTGCCGTCCGAAAAAACAAACGAAGGGAGGAGAAACTCTTGGTATGCCCACACCACAAGCATTGCTTCCAGTGTCTTCCAAAAACATCACTAATAATATACATCTCCTCACTCGCCAAGTAGCGGAGGATGCCGCTCTTCCCTTCAAATTGAAAGTAGCGCCATTTCCACAGCCCAATGTGATGGCCTCAGCCAGCACCAGCGCAGCCGCACCCAGCCGCGGGGGAAAAGAATTTGCAGCCCAACTGGGCATCCCGGGCTTTTCTTTCGCAACCATCCATCAAGGTTGCCACATGACTCAGACATTTCAGCATTGCCGGGTGCAATGTTGTATTGTTTTTGAATGTGGCTGAGATGGTTCAAGTCGCAGACCAAGCGAAATCATCGAAAAATGCTGAGATCTGCTGATCTGGCATCTTGTGGCATCCCGCGAACAAAGAACGAACCCGCGAGAATCGGTTTTCTACGTTAGTCCGTGAGACACGTGTGGATCTTTCTGGGTGTTCTGATTCAATTTCTTTTGGATGGTCTTCGGATTCAACTATCATTATACAACATTTGCAGTTTGTTCTTCTTCGATCATGAAGCCTACGCTCAAACCCGCAAAAAAAGGTTTGTGCAAGTCTATCATGGTAGGGCAGCCACTGTGATTAGTCCCCCTCTCCTTTACGCCCACACCGCTGTGATCGGGTTTTGCGGGTTTGCGTCTGTACTTGGACCGAACAAATGGATGTTCGCCGGCGATTGCTTTGTGGCACATCATTGCACAAGCTCAATGCATGCTATGTGCACGTTCTTTCATGTTAAAGAGTCAGAGTTCAGACCTGATTTCAGTCATGCTGCCTTTTTCTTCGCATTCCACCTGTTTGGCATGTTACCAAATGGGCATTCGGCTCACGGCTCACGCGTTCGTGTCCCATCTCCGCCAGCAGTTGGAGCAGTACCTTGCCATTGTTCGTGGCCGTTCTTGGAACCAGCCACTGCGGACCGAGCTTCGGTTTGGCAAAAAGGGAAGTTAACCAAAAGAAGAACCAACATGAATGAACTAACCCTTTTCCGCCAGGCTATCATGACATGATGACAATGATGACTGATGTCCGATCTTCAACTCTTCCCACTCTGATCCTGTTCCTTTTCTTTTGCCGTGGTCTATACCAACACCAGAGCCCACACCACCAAGCCCCTCGAGTTTCAGGCCATTGCCCTCGGGCGCTCCAGCCGTCCAAACGCTGGCGCCGGCACCTGCGTGTGTATGTGTGTCAACCGGTGTGTGTGTGTGTGTGTGTCAGTGAAAGGCAGGTCATTTATATAGAAAATGGGTTCCCCAACTCTTGTGTAGTCTTTTTCTTTCAGGTTTGGTGTCCCTCGCAACCGAACAGACTGGTCTTTCTGTTTGGGGAATTCGAAGCACGGCTCTTCGTGGGCACTGGGCTCCGGCGGAAACAGGCTTACGAGTCCTGCTGTGGGGGTTAGTTCGTTCCGTTCAACGTCCAGCTCAAGCATCGCGAAAAGACGAGTCACAAGTTGAGGGATGTTCACTTGGTGGGCACACGCTACACATCCTCCCTCAACAATCGTGTTCCATGTTGCTGCATGCTTAGCTACCTCCTCGAGGACTCAAGGACCTCCAAGTGTTTAAGAAAAAGGAGCTTGTAGCATCCACACACATCCTCCAGCACCCTTGGGCTCCAAAGTCATGCTTTCCAGATCGAGACTGCGTCTCTTGGGCTCCACGGCGCTGCGTCAACACCCGCGAAGCGTCGCCTCGACGCCTCCCCCATCCCACCGGGCCAAACCCAGTCGGGGAGCCGCGCTGAGCGCAGCGATAGAAGACATCGTCCTTGAGTGCCAAGGTGGGAGACCAACCTGGAAAAACACCAAAAAGTTCAGCGGTTCTTCCATGTGTGTGTGTGTGTGTTCCACTCTTTGTTGTCTGTTTTTCTGGGTGATTCGTTCGCTTCTTTCGTGCTTTTCCTCTTGTTTCGCGTGGAGTTGACAGGTGGTCGGTCGTCTTGAGGTGCTCGATGTCCCCGACGCGGTGCGCCCCGAGGACGCTCGTACCGTGAGAAACCGGGACGCACGACGCTCACGTGGAAAACGGGTGCGTCGATCGACTCGGGCCTGGATCGAAGGGCTTTGGGGCGTCGGCAAAGACCTCCAACACCGGCCTGCTCGACAAAGGGGGTGAAGCGATGAAGCGTTTCTTTTGGTTTTCGGAAAAACCGGTGGAAAAATCCGATGATCGGTTCACCCTTTTGAGTCTCCTTTGGAACCCCCCAAAAAGAGGGGATGCTTCGAGAAAACCCTCAGGAAACGCTCAGGAAACGAAGTTCTGCGCCTGAACTCTGCTTGGAAACCGCCTGGTCCATTGGCAAGCAAGCAGGCAAGCAATCAAGATTTGTGTTATGCACCGCTTCGACCGCCTTCCTCTCCAGCATCACCTGACGCAAAGATCAGCGCGCGCCAAAAAAATGGAGTGAACCATGTGACCGTGTTGCCTTCTTCAGTCGCTGTAGATTGCTCATTAGGAATGATTGGCGCAAACAAATGAGCAAGGCTCCAAATAAAAATTACACGGACTCTCCAGCCGGCTGGAGATGACATCACCCGGAATCACATTGGGAATCAATTCATGACAGTCAGCACTACACAGACCGACCCATCGCGTCTCATATGGATTCCTCCGCTTCCTCCGCTTTTTTCCGGTGGGCGCGCCCACCGGCTGGCTGCCCGCTCACGTGAGGTCTCTACTGGGCCGAGCTCAGGATCTTTTCCACCTGCAACACGGCCGAAACGCAAATGTATGGCGCCCCAAAAAGGAAAAATGGGCCCAAGATGGCCCAAGACGTTCAAAAGGGAAACAAAGAAGGTATGAAAACGTGGAAAAGATCTTTCCATGTGAAATGGCTCTTGGTGACTTGCTTAGACCAACCAACTCCCTGATTCGGAGATGGCTGTGGGTCGTTCAATCCGGAGCCCGGAACTCACGGTAGGTTGACCTGCCTAGTCGTCTATTCTGTCCATGTTCGGTTGGCAAAAGCAGGGTTCCCCCAGTGCCGTGATCCACAATTTGGCAGAGGAGTCCGCCTGAAAATCTAGGAACCAAATGATTAGTGCCAGCAAGGAAGCACGAGCTATCCCGCGTCAAGTGTCCAGTGTCGCGTCCAGTACCTTACCAAATTAAGTAGACATGCAATCTCTATACTTAAGTAAGGAGGCAGAGCAGGGCCATGGCGGCCACGAGCTGAGTTCCATTGTGTCTTTAACTTGCGACTGGCACCTCGGTCCTGTGACGTTGCTCTGCATGGTCCAAAGGAGTCATCCCATCGTTGTCCTCGGTGTTGGCGTCGGCGCCAGCAGCGAGCAGCAACTTCACCATTTCCACACAATCATCTCGGGCTGCATAAATCAATGGAGCCCTGGTTTCGGTGGCTGACAGAGGTTGTTTGATTTTTTCGCAGCAAATCATCTGTCTTCTTCCAGATATGACTGGTTTGTGAGTTTCCGGCATGGAAAGCAGCTATCAGATATATATATATATATATATAGATAGATAGATAGATATGTTAACCAAAATTCCAATTTGAGATATCACTGTAAGATGGATTTTGAGCTTCAATAGCTTCAATTGAGGTCTCAAGTCAGCCATATCTTCTGGCCTTGTGTTCAAAGTTCCAGTACTGAAGTTGCGAGGGGACGTGCAATCCGGGAGGATTTTGAACGGGACACTCAGGGACACTCAAGGACAGTCAAGCCACCAAGTTCGAGGCAGCCACTCAAAGACACTCAAGGATGTCCGTGAGTGTCCTTGAGTGTCTAGTCTATATTTTGGATAACCTTGAGTGTCCTTGAGCGTCCTTGAGTGTCTGGTCTTGTTGGATAACTTTGAATGTCCTTGAGTGTCCTTGGGTGTCTGGTTTTTTTGAATGACGTTGAGTGTCCTGAAGTGTCCTTGAGTGTCTGGTCTATTTCTTGGATGATCTTGAGCGTCCTTGAGCGTCGTCTAGTTTTTCTTTTAGATGACCCTGAGCGTCCTTGAGTGTCTTGGGTGTTTGCTTGTGTCCTGGCTCAGACTTGTTTAAGCGTCTTCAAGTCTCCGTGTGTTCTGAGTCACTATTTTTGAAGTTTCCCTGGCTGTCCTTTAGTGTCTATAGTCTACACTTTTATGTTTCTGGCGTCCCTGTTTCTGGCGTCCCTATAGCTGTGAGGGTAGTGCACGGAAAGGGCTTAGTAGAACCCTACTCCACTAACTTTGTGGAACCCTTGCCTATTCGTGGAACCCTTGCCTATTCACATAGCATTCGTGGAATTCTGATTCCTTAGGTGTACAAACTCCAACAAAAACTGGGGAACCTTCGCAGGACTTAGTGGCATTGTGGGGAGGGCAATGGTATCCCTTTTGAGATTTGCGAAGCATTGATCGAGACCATCGCTGCTGGATATGTCGTGGCTCATGCACGGATCCGGATATAAGGTAGAGAAAGTTCATAGAAACTTAAGGACATGCTCCATTGAGGACAAGTGAATGAAACCTGAAAGTTTTGGCACAACACCCTAACTCTTGAAGTGTCAGCAGTGCGATTGTAGCTGTTCCTGGGCCAGGAGCAGACGCAGTCTGGGAGCCAAGTGCAAGGAGGGCTGGCGTTCGTTGGTTGAGTGCCGGTCACACATGCAGTGATAGCAAGAAGACCAATCACAGCAAAATCGCCAATAGAAAATGGCCTTGTGAGCTTGTGGTTCTTTCGCATGGGCCCGATGTTACAGACATTGCCTATCCAAACAGCACACCTAACCTGGATACATGCTTGCCTACAGAGATAGCAAGAAAATGCATCAAGTCGAAATAAGAGATGCCTTGGGTCCCACGCAACCCCGAAAATGGCCCTGTAAGGTTGTGGTTCTTTTCGTGGTGTTCTGCAAGTGTTCCTCCTGGGGCCGTTTTCGATCCAACACCAGACCTCACTGTAAGGTTAATTTACAGACGCTGGGTACCCAAACAGCAAACAACCAATACAATACACATCCACTTGCCTGGGTATGGATGCGCTGTTGCTGTCGGAGGAATCACTGGACCTATTGCGTGCGCAACAGTGAGGTAACAGGAGTAAAAAATGGGACGTCTACCTCGAAGCGTGGAGAAACCAACCTTGATTCATCCCATTTTCTGTTTTGTTGGTCACACATTGCAAAAGGCGTGCTCTGACCCACTCCTTACACTCTACCTGAGGATATTTGGCTCGCGCAAACAGCCATCGGAAAGGTTGTAGCAAGGGCTCGCCTCGTGGCGGCGCATGGCTTGGGTGAGCAGAGAATCCGAAGCATGGGAAAAGCAACGCGAGAGCAACATAGAAGACAGACTAAGCTATACAACTCCTCACTTATGGGAGCTCCCCAACTTAGAATGACTTTCCGAGCCTTGGGAGATACCTGCTCAAGCCCGCACAGGCTGTGCACAATGGATTCCAGCCCGACGCTACAGATGTTCCAGGAACCTATCAAACGCAAACGCCCCAACTTCCAACAGCAGCCCAAGCGATTCCCCCGAAAGCCGCGGGCAGATGGCAGAAAGCCGAATACCCCAAAAGATTTGTTACTGTCACAAAGAAGACCCAAAATGAGCAAGAAGGTGAAGCGCCTCAACCGTAACGCCCCAGCCACCTTTGCCAATGTCGACTCTGTAGATCGAGGAAGGCAATCGCCAAAAGGCTGAGCAGGCGCGCGACTTACCAAGGAAATCTTCGCTACGTCATCTCCATCTTCAAGCGTAGAAATGTAGCCATGGCAGATGTTCTTCCACTGCAGCGGGCGCAGAACGACTTTACCGTGACAGCGACCCGAGCAGACGCGCAAACCTGTTGCCAGAAGGACTTGCATGATATTGGAAAGACATGTGTCCAGCTCCAAAAACGCAATCTCAGAAAAGGTCGACTTCTTTTCCGGGTCATCCCTCCTCACTTAGATGGGCATGCTGCTGGTGAGCAGAGTTTGCCAAGTCTACTTGGGCCCCCTGCAGTCAAGTGACCCTTTGCCTGATCGCAAGACAGATGTTCATTGTCTCTTTCATGGTTCAGCCGGAGGGGTGGTAATGACAACGACATGAGTGAGTGGTTTTCGATGCAGAACACTTGGATGATGGAGGAGTTAAGCGGCGAAAGTTATATAGCTAAGTGTTATCCCATCCGTCAAACCGTCACGTGCCATCTTTTTGGGTGGGGCAGTCTCCAGACCCGATCATGGTATTCGTTTCGGCTACCCAAAGGTGGCTGGGTGCACACAGAAGGCCACCCTGCTCAACGTCATTGCATTTGAGCACCATTTCAGCAAGGCTGCGCAAGAATGTCCCCGAAGAGCGCCGAGCACAAGGCACAGGAAAGCCGCGGGTGGGTTGCCCCCATTGCACCAATGTATGGCGCTTTTGTCAACTAGCCAGCCACGTATGCATCAAACAATTTGGGTTTGCTTCCGATGGTTCCTCTGACTGCGTTCTTGTTGTTTGCCTCGTTGTTCACCTTTTGTTTTGGGGCCCCCTTCGCCCAGGAATACCATTGCCCTCCCCACAAACGAGGGTTTGTGTGTGTGTGTGCGGAACTAGGGTGAGCACAAAAATTCCTTATAAAGCTAGTGCATCATCAAAAAGACCCTTGCCACTAAGTCCTGCGAAGGTTTCCCGGTTTTTGTTGGAGTTTGTACTCCTAAGGATCCAGAGTTCCACGAATGCTATATGAAAACTAAACTAGACGAAACCCAAGGACGCTCAAGGACACTCAAGATCATCCAAGAAATAGACCAGACACTCGAGGACACTTCAGGACACTCATTGCATCCAAAAAGACCAGACACTCAAAAACACTCACGGTTATCCAAAAAGACCAGACACTCAAGGACACTCAAGGACACTCAAGGTTATCCAAAATATAGACCAGACATGACCAGACACTCAAGGACACTCAATGTTATCCAAAATACAGACCAAACACTCAAGGACACTCAACGACACTCAAGGACATAACCCTTGAGTGTCTTTGAGTGTCCTTGAGTGTCTGATTCAACTAGTGCACGTCTGGCGACCCCAATGCAGGGGTTTTCCATATCAATCGCTAGAAGATGACAAAGCCCCAAGCTACCTAGAACGGTAAGGCAGCAGGAACACCACCAGGACACCACGGAAACACACCAAATATCACAAGATATCTTGCCAATCCACATGTCTGTGGGCGGTATCGAGTCCCAACGTCATGTCGACTCAATGGTCATAAAAATCCCACCTGGGAGCTAATTGCCTATGCTCAATTGCCGTCCGTGCCTTCCAAACGTGGTGTCCTTGAGATTTGGATCTCCTTTGGCCTCCAAGAGAAGCTTGGTGATCTCTGTACTTTTCTCCGTCTTCGTAAAGCACCTGCCGCCTGCTTGATACAGCGGGGTCTGCCCAGAGTAAGCCCGGGAATTCACATCAGCTTTGAGAGAGATAAGAGTCTTCACCATCTCCACATTGCCTTGGCGAGACATGCACAGAAACCCGTAGAAACTCCAAGATCTTTCAACATGCTTCAACACTTCTGAAGGGTGATTTCCACACTTCAGATCACTTCAGCCATCTTTCCCTCAAACAATTCTGTTTAAAAAACCCTCAACTCTGCCTTGATCGGCCGCCAAGTCCAAGGCTGAGTGGTCATCCCGCCACTTTTGTTTCAAGTCTATATCCGCGCCCAGAGAGATTAGCAAGCGGATCTTCTGCACATCCTCGTTCTCGACGGCGCTGAACCACTCCTTGAACATCTTCTCCTCATCTGGGGTGTACACTTTCATCATCATCTCGATCTTCTCCTGGACGTTGCGATGCGAAAACGGAGGACGTCAGAATCGATCATGAGCCTTCACTCGCTTAGGAAAAAATAGGATGAAGCAGAAATTCCGGGATCCGGGGTGGAACATGGATGAATACAATTGAATACACGCAATCCATTTTGCTCCTCAAGCTTTTGCACCTTCTCTTGACATTCATCGGCTGCGGTGCCGCTCCGAAAGCTGTCGGCAGGGCAAACGATGGACGCCAGTGCAGCGAGCGCCAGTGCAGCGAGCGCCATGCGTGCGAATCGGTCTGGATTTCCCAAAGATGTTGCGTCTGCTTCAGCTGACGAACCGAGGCCAAACAACTGAACATGTGTTTCGCTCATGAATTGAAGCAACCAGTGGGCAACCTACAGCCCACCAAAAAAAACACGGCCGGGATGCTATGCCCTTTGCATGGGCTGCAAACAGCAACAACAACGCTCTTGATGTCTATGTTGTATATCTCTTGGAAGCTCTACAAGTAGAAGGGGTCTTATGATCGATCGTTAGGTTTGTGATCGATGCAAACAACGCAGTGTGACCGCACCGCACCGTACTTCGTCGCACATCGACACTCGCAGGACTTCGCACGTTGATGTGACGCAATGTGACGTTCTTTTGGAGGAGACTCTGCGTTGACCCGAGTAGCGTGCTTCCATGCTGCCCAAATAGGACCCAAGAAAACGCCTGAATCTATCCCGCCCCAAATCCTTCTCCACCAACCCCCCCCACCACCCACGGTACCAGTACCACCCACGTCTCCTCGTCTCGGCCCCGGCCATGCGCCTGTCTTTGGCCGAAAGGGGCGGATCTGCAAGTCGCGCGGCAGCATCCCATGGTCCCACCTGGGCGGCTCGGCTAGCCGCGCTGCGAGGAAGTCGGGGGGAAGGACTGGGGAAGGACGGGGGTGGGTGGAGCGCTTTAGAATGCTTTAGAGGAGCGTTTTAGCTGAGGTCTGCATGTGATCGTGTGTGCACGGTTTTGCAGCATGGTGTGTGCGCGGAAAACCAAGCGGTCGACCATTGCTGCATTTGCCAATTGCTGTAGGGCCCTCGGCCTCATCATAGGAAAAAATACGGCGGAAGCCAAGGCTTGCTGAAGGAAAAGGATCGTCAAGTGAAAAAAACAATCAGCTTGCGACTGGTGAAAACCCTACTTGAAACATGGATGATGACTCTGCATCCAATTGACTAACAGGTCTAAGGCCCACGCACAGCTTGCGTGGGTCCAAATACTCCCAGCAGCCGCAATCTGCAAGTGCTATGGTCAATTGACCGAAAACACAAAATATAAACAACTACATGACATGACTTATTCTTTGCATGATAAGCTCTATTACAGTTATATAAGTTATATACATAATCATACATAATCATACCATATTCGGTCCTGGAAATCGCTTGCTTCTCAAAGCTGCCATCTGAGATAACCCAAACTTCATCTTCAAAACCTGCTCAGCTCTAAGACCCAAGCTTCCCGCATCGGCAGCCTGTTCTTGTTCGGCTGGCCCTGAAGCTTGTCGCTCCGAAGAACGTCGACCGTCGTTGTTCACTTTCACTCGCCTCGCATCTTTGAGGCGCGGCCCAGGTCTCTGGTTTGTTTTGGGGGGGTAAGAAGATGTAAGAAGCAGTCAGGATTCGAAGCCAAGTAACATTTTGATGGGTATTTTGTTGGGCCAGATCGCGCCCAAGTCGAAAGCACATCGAAAGCACAGCTCTCGAAAGCACATCGAGATGTGCCTTCGATCTCTCATTTGGACCTTTCTTATAAAATCTTATAAAGATCATTAAAGATCCGTGTTCACGGATCTCTGCCTGATCACGTTCAAGAAGCCCACATGGACTGTTTACTTGACTTGACATGAAGCCCAAGGTCGTGGGAGCCATCCTGGTCTCGTCCCGGTCTTCCCTGCCTTCTTCCAGCTTTGAAACAGCCGACCTGCACGTGACATGCACCGACGGTCCGGGCGTTCGTGATCCACGTCACGCACATGCACACGTGATTCACACGTGATCCACACGTGATCCACACGCGATCTGCACCTCCAGTCCCAGACACGCAGCACGTCAAAGTGCTTGGTGTTGTCGCGGCCCGTGCCATTCCTGTCGATGAATGGTGGAAGTTCATGGAAGGAGCGCAGGAACGAAGAGGATGGTTTGGTGTTTTTAACTTCACCGAAGCCGCAGAACGCACCCGGCAGAACGCGAAGCAGAACGCGAAGCAGGCTTCATCAAATCCACGTGCCGACACAGCTCAGGCTCAGGTGCGAGCCATTCCGAGACAAAGATCGAAAGGCCATTGGTGCCTCGAAGGCTTCGCGCAACGAAGTGAGGCACCGAGGAATCGCCAACACCGGACAGCTGAGAGCAAGAACCGAACAGACGTAAGCCAAGAGCCTGACGAGTACGAAACTTCTTCCTGCAGCGCAGAAGCAAAGAAAACACGATCCGCTCGACATCTTGCAATATTCATGTAATGATATGCAATGCACATCGGGATCATCGGGGTGTCTGTCAAACGGCCTAGTGGTGTCACTCGTGAAAAACATTGAAAAACTACCCACTGGGTCTAAAGCAGGCCAGGCCAGCAAATGGTTAAGAACCTCCCACCGGTCAGTCACAACCTCCACGGTGATCTTGCACTTCCTTTGCCAAATGTCTGGTGGCAAGGCTCTCAAACGTGATTCTATTTTGATGGGCAAAACATCGCCAAAAGCTGCACAAACCCTGAAAGACATTTGAATAGAACCCCCGCCTACTTGTATGGATTGGGGACTGCTGGGCTGGGAGCTCATCCAACAGATAGCAGGAACAAAACAATCCAACTCGTGGATTTCACCTCCCACCGTTACCAGGAGTTGCATACGGTTGGATTTTGAGTCCCCAAGTGAGTGGATGTGACAGGGGCACCCATACCCTCCAACCAACTCCCCTTTGGAACTGCTGGTAGTTGATTGATGCTCAATGGAGACCCCGTGAAACATCGTGCAGCCTGTAACTCTGAGAAAAAACTCTGAGAAAACTCGTCGCCAGCAGATGAGCTTCGTTCACAAAACTCGGACTCCCCCATGTTGCTGTGCCCAAGGGTCTGTCTTAGCATGAAGGTACACCCCAAATAGGTCTTGTAGTGAGAAAAAGTAGAGGAAACATCTTGGCGGTCCCCTCATATCAAGAGGATGCTGTTGGTCAAAATGAAAGGCCGGATTTGATCTTCCACCAGGTCTTTTTGCGACTACAGAATTCAGCATGGCAGCCATGGCACATCGTTCAGGCCTTTTTCCCACTCACATCAGCTGTGTTCCTCCACCCACATCAGCTGCGCTCCGCATCTCCCGCCCACTTTGTTCGCTCCTGGGGTACTGGTAGACTGCTGCACGCTGGAGCACATAGAGACGTCGATTGTCCAAGGTGAAGAGCCCCTGGAATCCGGTCGTGGAGGGCCCTCACCACACGCAGTAGGGTTTTTGTTGACGTTCTTTTTTGGGCGAACTCGCCCCCTCTGGTGAAGTGGGGGTGAAGTGGGGGTGAAGTGGGGCTTCCGAAAAGAAGCGTCGTTCTCAACGTGAAAACACATCCAACGTGCGTGGCTTTCGGCGTTCCACCGCCGGAACCGCCCAGCCACCGCCCGAACCAGCGGAGGGCGAACCTCCACCCCTCGGCGCTCTTCCCCGTTCTCATCCAAGACAGGCTTCCCTTCCCCATCCTCAACAGCAGCGAAAACATGCGAGGGAACGGAAGAGATGAGGTTAAAGCATGTCAAAACAACCAAAGAGAAGAATGAAAATTGGTGTTCCACTGGTCCACCCTGTCTCGTTTTGACACCAGGGAATTCTCGTGATCAAGGAATACCAGTTGTCAAGAACCATCGCATCATCACATGAAGAGTTCAGAGTTCACAGTTCACATGTCTCTCCTGGCTCCTCGGTTTCTCCCTTTTCTGTCCAACGACCCGAGGTGCTGGCACGAAGCTTGGGACACCAACGCACCGCCTGGCCACCCACGGTGCGAGACGCGCCGCACGGTTCGATTCGGGTCACTCCAGAGGTCCACAGGAAAAACCGATCCCAAAAACAGATCAACCAGCTGCTTCCGTTGTCACCTGGCTGGATATATCTCCGTCAACAGGTCTCCATTGACAGGGCACCCCGAAAGGAAGAAACAGATCAACGATGTCTGAAGCATGAAAACAGAAGGGAAATCGACCGAAAGAGAATCACCATGTCCCCACGAGCGGGATGTCCGAGTTCGCTCGATGCCGGCCTGAATTGGTGGGAAAGGCGCTTTGAGCCAATAGATCTCCTGAAAAGCACACGCTTTTGGCAGTAGGAAGTGCATCTATACCTTCTTCACTACTGTCACCCCTTTTTACATTTGTCATGACTGTCTAATCATCCATGGATTTAATTGTGAACTGGAAGATGGTCTTCACTTGAAAATCGATGCTTTTTCAGGTGTCCATTGGTTTCCAGTGCAGTCTGCATCTGAAAGTCGCCACTCCTCATCAAACGACTCCACTGCGGTCACTTCCCTCAGTCGCGAGTGAGAACTCTGCTTCCTCTGTTTACACCTTGAATCATATAGACTCTACATGATCCATCATGATCCTTGAATGCACCCTGCACCCAAGTCGGGACACCAACCTCGAATTCTTATGAATTTTTCATGTTCTTATTCGGTTGGGACCATTCTTGGGCTTGGGCGACCCCAGAAACCAGTTCTCCCTGCAAATCTTCACTCTCCCCCAACCATGTCTCCCAGGTTTTTCACACCCCCCATGTCTCACCCAAACTTACCGCCCAGCCATCGCTTTCTTCTTCCCTCCCAACCGCCTCACGGTCTCATCCACAGACGTGCCGTCGGAAAATAAGGGATAGATCACGTGCTGGGAAAAGTTCACCTCGCGACCCACGGCGAGGACGGAGGACGTTCCCCACCGACTCGGGTTTGGCGTTGAGACAACGGACGGAATTCCGGACCTCCAGCGGCGAGACCTCCACTTCCTGGGTCTTAGGACCTGAACGGCCAGCGCCCGGCGACGGGCGCGGGCGACCGCCGAAGCGCCGGTGCAGAAGAAGAGCGCCACAGCAGAGGAGGAGCGCAGACGTGCAGCAAGGACCCTTTTTGGGGGGGCTCCAGCAGTAGTAAGGTCGATGGCCATCTTGGCCATCTGAAAACACGCGTTTTTTGCGCATTGTGTTCTTTTCCCCACCCCGCACAGTTGTCGGGGCGGATGTCCAAAGTGAATCTGAAGAGCGTGGGATGTCCATTGAGATCCAAAAGCACCTACTCGTATAGGTCACAGCACCAGCCCAAAACTCACTGTCCTTGAACTGGAGTTCAACGGATCATTGCATTCATTGCTGAAATACTTGAAGAACCTGTGTCGACTAAGGTCGAAGAATGATCCTGTGTCGAACCTGTGTTGCATTCATTGCTTTTCGTGTCGACTGAGCATGCACATCATTTGACTAAGGATTTGGGATCACCGCGAACAGACGACGCCTTCGTTCCATCACTCAGGCGATGCTTCGCTCAGGCATCGTCCTCCTCGGCACGGCGGTCCTTGGGCGTCTTGGCTTCCTGGTCGGGGAAGCCAAAAGCGCTCCAAAAAGGAAGGCAGTCGTGGGTTCCTTGGGTGTTTAAAGATTTAAAGCATGTTTAATACTTCCTTCCTCACTGGCCTTCAGCTGATCTTTTCGTGTTCCTGGATTTCGCCTTCAGCTGATCTGATCAGAAATGGAATCCGATCTTCCCCAGTCCTTTGAGCCCAGATCGCGGGAGGTCACCGGCCGACTCTTAGCAGAGCTCTTCTTGGCCTGTCGGGGTCGAGAGAGACCCAACGAGATCCGTCTCGCCTCTTTAGAGAGAGACGTGCCAAGTGCTCCAGTACAATCACCCTACTAACAAAAGAACCATATGTTTAACACCTGTTTCTGTGGCTTTCAAAAGAAGAGTGGCTTTCAAAGCACCAAAAGAAATGGAGACCAAAGATGTTGTGTTAGTTCGATGTGCAACGGGAGTGGCTGTTTGCTTCGTCTTCTTCCTCTTGGCGTCCTCGAACCGCGCCTCGTCCGCCTCACGCCGGGAGCCCTTCCGCACGGTGCGGCTCGTCTTGCCACGGTCCTTGGAATCCTTGGAATCCTTCTCCTTCCGTCTGTCCTTCTCCTCGTCCACTTCCTGCCCCCCGATTTCCAACGAACAACGAGCATGTCGAATCCTTTAGCCTTATGCTCTTCAATTCTGCATGTCGGAATGCACATGATGCTAGTCTATTAGCATAAAAACGTTGACAACCTACAAGCATCAGAAGCTTTGATGTGGAAGGTAGATGGTAGCGATTTGAGATACAGCCCACTGAAAATCTATGGCCTGATGCTGGTTTTCTTGGTTGCCCCACAAATGACAAAAAGCTTTGCCCTCGTGGACATGGAGATTCACGTCCACCCTTATGGTGCCTAGATGCTTTACACACTGCCTGCAAAACGAATTGAGAGCCGACTAAACCTTCCGCTCTGCCTGAACAAACCCATCGTCCGGAACCCCTGCGTCAGTAGAAATCATGAAAATGTTTGGGCATCCGCGAAATTCATCCTTCATCTTCACCAAATCCTCCCAAAACATCACCACCCCCCTAACAACGCCCACCATACCCCCCCCCAAAAAAGCACCCACCCTCCGGTCCTCTTCTTTCGCTTTACCCGTCTTCTTCTTCCGGCTGGGCGGCTTCTCCTTCTGCTTCCCCGCCTTCCGCGCCTGCCGCGTCTTCCGCCGCAGCGCCGCCGCGCCGTCGTCCTCAGAGTCGGAGACGTCGTCGGAGTTGCCGTCGTCCGGGAAGAGCACCTGAGCGTCGCTCGTGGAGGCACCGATGGACGGGTGGACGGACACGAGGCTGGACGGGTGGACGGGTGGATGGGTGGAAGGGCGGGCGAACACCGGGCGAATTCACCCGGGGAGACGTCGTTCTCGTCTTTGGGACGGGGGATTGGTTCCAGAGGAGTTGGGGACCCTGGAGGGCATGGCAAGCGGTAGCAAAAGCATCAACATGCATCACCTGAAACGAAACCACGTTGAAATCAAGCAAATAAACCAAAAAATTATCTTCTATGGCTATGGCCGATATGGCCGGCTGCAAATAAAAAGGGATGCTACTATGGGTACCTTGGATGATCCATGAAGATCCTGTGTGCCGAGAGGGACGTAACTGAGGGACCACACCTGCGCCGATCGCGTGAGAGATAGAATGGAGTTTGGACGAGCAGGGAGGATGCTTGACCTCCAGGCTCTTGGAGGTCGAAGAGTGGTGGATCCCCCCCCCCAAAAAAAAAGCCTGCACCTGCAACTCCTTACTCACCAGCATGACCTTCGACTGGTCCGGATCGCAGAAATCCAGGATCGCATCGCAGACCATGTAGCCCATCTCCTCCAAGTGCCTTGTGGTGAAATGCTGTTCACCCAGCGGGCCAAAGTCGGCACCACAAAACGAGGCTTCCAGCGTATAGGAATTCACCACCCCAAGCTCCCTATAGGCCACGACGCGCGCAGTGGATTCTTTACTCTTCTGAATCTTGAAGCAGCAATCGTCGAAGCTAAAGCAATCGGAGGAGCGGCAGAGAAGACCGGGAAAGATCTTTTGCTTTAAGCCGTTGTTCTCACTGTTTCCATACATGAAGACGTTCTTCTTCCGACTGTGTCCATGAATGTCCACAAAGAGAATCACCTCTCGATCATCCAGCAAATGTCGAAACATGCTTTTGGTGAAGAAGATCGTTGGGTGCATCTTTCGACTAGGCTCGTCCCAGAGGCGATTCAAGTCTTGCCCCGCCAGCGAGCATCGGTAGTTGCCCACGATCACGCCGTCGGGGTTCAGCATGGGCACGATCTTAAACACAAAGTTGTCACGCAGGATTCGGGCGTCCACCGAGGACCCCGTCAGGTAGTCCAGGATTCCCTTCATCACCCAGGAGGCATTCGACTCTCCGGGGTGGACGCGAGCGGTGATCACCACGGCACGACGAGCCTTCAGTTGTGCTGGATCACTGCAAAAGGAGGTGATGGTGATGAGATCGCAGGCATTCCCCGCCAGCGTGTCGCAGAGCTTGCGGCGCCGCAAGCGGCGCACCATGTGGGGATCCCTCTCCAAGGCTTTGAGATCCACTTGTAAGTCGGAAAAGGTGTAAGGATAGCAATGTGAAAAGTAAACCTCATCGCAATCGTGATCGAAGGTCACTGTGAAGGTCAGGGTGTAGTAATTCGAACCCTTTTGCTTTCGAAGTCCATTCTGATAATATGCAATTCGGTCGCCACACCTGACCCAGCCAATTCCCTTGGACGCAGCTTGAATGCAGGAATACTGAAGCGGCCGCATGCCCTCATTGTAAACAGACGTTGGCTTCACCATGTTAATAATGTTGAAGCGATACTGAGGACCTTTGCGGGTGTTTCCCACGCGGAAGAAATACCACTGAGTATGCGATTTGGTGTTGTAGTCGGGGTTCAGGATCAAGTCATACCTTAGAAAGGGGTCCATCATGGTCCATCTCAAAATGACAGGACCGCCAAACAAATGAGTTACAGCTGAGAGAGCGCCAAAACCGTGGGCGCAAAATTTGTTCCATCATGTTTTATCCTGTTTTCGATATTCAAGTACGAGTATCGCGTTTGGTTGTTCGCTGTATCGCTTTACGTGGCTTTACACTGCTTCGTTACCACAGTAACTCTGGGACAGCATGGTCCAAACGGTGGACTACCCTGGACCTGGACCATTTTCCACGCTTTTCCACGTCCATGTTAGTGGTCAGAGTGAGTATTTGGAACCAGTGTGAGGGTCCGGTACCTATGGTGTGAAATGTCAGGGAAGCCTGGTAGTGTGGTGATCAAAAGTGAACTATCTCGAGCCGTGACAAGGTGAACGTGGAGGTAACGACACACTAGGAACGCATGATTGTAACAAACCCCGATGGGTCCACATACCTTCTCAGAAGGTAGTTGGACCCTCCAAGCCTACATAAATTGTCTCCAATCACTGTACCTCAGAAGGTATGTGGATCCAAAGGGAGACCGTACTTTCCAACCAAAGAGCTATGTTGATGTTTTCCTGACATGCCCCTACGGGATTCCGACGGAGATCAACACAAATTCATGGGCTCCGGTATATATGTACTAAACTTCACCGGTAGACTTCCAATGCATTCCAACCTTTTTCACGATATATGTTTACTTCGGGCGAAGAACAGTGAAAAATCATCACAAACAAAGGTTTTCACATACAAAAACTCGTTTTTTAATTGTTTGTGGGGCCCCAAAGTACCATCCCATTGGTGGGCCTTCCAAGAAACCCGATTCCACATATTTGCGATCGCACGGTACGTGACGTGCATCGCCCGGCGGCGACCCGCGTCCCTTTCCTACGCCCTCGGCACGGCTGGGTCGCAAGCCGGCTGACATTCGTGAGTGTGGCGCTCATGAGTTGAAACGTTGGGAGGAGGACTGGCACAGGTTCCCGCCGTACCAGTACCATGTATATATATATATGTGTGTGTGTGTCTATATATGCTAGCCCCCCCACTTTTAGTTCTAATTTAGTTTTATTTTACCTCAAACTTAGTTTTGTTTATGCTTCATGTTTTGTAATTAGTTTGTAGTTTTCAGCTAGTTTAAACCTTGTGCATTTCAGTTTCAGTTGTTTTACAATTTCTAGTTCAATTCTGTTTTGATTCCCAAATTAATGTTGACTAATTCCAAAGTAATTTCAATTCGATTCTAGTTCACTGCAAATTTATTTTTAGTTTCAGCTAGTTGAAATCTTACGCAATTCAAGTTCAATTGTTTTACAATTCTTGTTTAATTCCATTTTGATTCCTAATTTGATTTTTGATGGGTTCTAAATCATTTTTCATTCGGTTCTAGCTCAATGCATTCAATGCAAGTTGAATTCTCATTGAATTATGACCTTATTCTAGAGAGGGTTTTGCTGGGGGTGTGATTTTAAGAAAACACCTTTAAGAAAGCAACACG